CCCCCCCCCCCCCCCCCCCCCCCCCCCCCCCCCCCCCCCCACTAGGTAAGCAAACAGTCACTGGTAGGTTGTGTCTGGCCCAAGGTCACGCAGTGAGTCAGTGTCACAATGGGATTGAGTAGAGGAGCGGCCTACTTTCCAGTTTAGGGTCCGAGCTAGGCTCGCCCGTGCAGGGAAGAAGGGCACTGAGACTGGGATTTCAGTATCGTGAAGGAATTCTCGCTCCTTGCCAAGTGTGATAAGAGGCTGGTTTTGTGTGTGTTTCTCAGATCACCACTACCCATCTACCACTGACCACCAACAGAAAGGCTTTATTTAACTTAAAAAAAATTTAGTTCTGCCATCTGTCTGAAACAGCCCTCTTCCCTCTACTCTGCATGAGAGTAAGATCCTTGCTGAGAGTCGCCTGCAGATGCTAAGCCAAAAGAGGCCGGGTCTGCAGAGAGAGCATTCAGAGCAGGGGCGGCTCCAGGCACCTTTGGCGGTGTGTCTGCGGGAGGTCCGCCGGTCCCGTGGCTTCGGTGGCAGGTATGCCGAAGGCGCGGGACCAGCAGATCACCCGCAGACATGCCGCCAAATCCGCGTGACTAGTGGATCGCTCGCAGGCGTGCCGCCGAAGGCCGCCTGACTGCCGTGCTTGGGGCGGCAAGTAACATAGAGCTGCCCCTGATTCAGAGATCAGAATGTACATTGGGATTTTATTTAGGGGCGGGTGGGGGGGGGGAAAGAGTAGTGGGGGCAGGAGTGTTACCTTTTAGTTGAGGAAAGACTTCACTGGGGTTTGAACCTGTAACCTTCAGTACAGGAGCTTCTACTGTTGGAGCTCAAGCTTGAGTAATTCCGCTACTTTGCTGTAGTAGACCCTTATCCACTTGTGTGGCTCAACCACTAGAGGGAGACAAAGACCCACTCTCTCCAAGGTTGGGGTATGTTTGCACCCTCATAAGAGTCCAAAATGTTGCAGCATGATAATGTACTTTTCTTGTAAACTTTCATGTAAACTCAATACTGATGAAAGTGTAGTGGTTCATAGCCAGGGGGATCGAAGTCCTCACCTAGTCACAGAGCGGTGGCTTCCATCACCACAGTTCCTCTGGTATGACCTGGAGGGGCCAACTCTAGCAATGAGGGGGTGTTAGGCACACTTACCCGTTCCACCCTCTGCTGAGGTTGTCAACTATTTATGGTGGAGGGGGCTTACGTGGACTCTTGTCCAAGGCAGACTGGACTGAGGCCACCAAACAGCTGTCAGAGGGTAATGGTTTTCAGTCACTACCAACCTGGCCAGGATTTGGTAAAGGTCAAGGGCTCTGCAATGTGTTACCAGTCTCCTAAGACATGCCCGTCTCCCTGGCTTTTTCCTCTTTGAAATGAGCAGTTCAGCTTGTTCATGATGAAAGTTCTGTGGCAACATCTACAGTGCCTGGGTCAGTTGCTCTTTTTACATCCCCGGCCTTGTGATTCAAGCTTTTATGGCTGAGTTGGATTCTCTTTCCCCATCCCTCCCAAGCTGCATCATCCATAAGTTTCTTACTGGTGTGTCACTTAGATCAGGAAGTGTTATTCCACTGGCGTCGGTGAAAATGAAAAAATGAGCAAAACAGGTTCGTTGGCGGTTTTACTTCCTTGAGACCTTGCAGTGCAGATGTTTTTGCTCACCTTTATTAAACGCATGTGGTAAACGAACATCGCATTGTGTATGTACAAGGTGTTCTATTGGGATAACAGATGACATTTATATAGACTGGAGGTACCCTGGGGAAAAAAACACGGTTTGGCTCAACAATTGAGTATAAAAGGGTCCCCTGACAACCTACAAGCCAAATACCCATGTAAACATGCTTCTTTATACTGTCCAGCAAACTGAATACTAGTCCCTTTTCTGTTTAGAGAAAAGTCCATCCCTTGGGACTAAATGGTTCAGGGGCTGGGTAATAGGAAAAAGGGAATCTTGTGCTCTCAGGATGAATCCTGCCCAGCTTAATAGTCATTGGCATCCGTCTGACTGCTGCTCAGTGGGACTATATGCAGTGAGTTTGATCTCAGTTCAGTTCCTTGGGGGCACTTGCCCACATCGCATTGAATTCACCCTATACTTGGCACTAGCTGTCCCTCTTGTTGGCAGTCTCAGTAGAGAGGCCATAACTGACTGGATCCTGGAGACAGCTCACTTTGGCCTAGGGATGTCCCCTCCAGGTAAGGGTTGAGGCACAGGGGGAGGAAACCTTGTCCTGTTGCTGCTCATCTTGTGTTTGCTCTCTGGATAGAGGAGGTTGCTCTCTAGGGCTGTCAGTCCAGCGCATTTCATCACCAGCACTAAACAAGTCACTTCAGCCATACATTGTGAGAATTTATGCTTATCTGATTTCATATTTCATCTCCGTTCCCCTCTACTGTTTCTTCTGATACCCCTTTTCCTCCCCTGGGCGGTGCCATTTGTTTGCTGATGATTGCGTAGCTGGCTGCAGTAGCTTGTAAGTCCATGTGGCATCTGCTGGAATCTAAAGCTGGCATTTCTTATGATTCTGTGTTTCTAACCAAGAGAGGTGTTTGGTGTTTTTCTCATCTGCAGCCATGACGGGACCAAGACCGGTAGTTCTGAGTGGCCCATCGGGTGCAGGAAAGAGCACTTTGTTAAAAATGCTGCTTAAAGACTACGGCAATGTCTTCGGCTTCAGTGTCTCTCGTGAGTATTTGTGTGCGACCCGGGGGCGGGGGGGGCGAGGGAAAGTGAAACTGAAGCTTAATAACAGCCAAGGGCCTGACTGTGTAGCTACTACACATAGTTTTCAACATAGTTAGCCCCCAAATCATAAAAATTGCATGTTAGCTGTTGTGGCGTGGGTTAATTGATCTATCTTAACTTGTGTGCTAGTAAGTATGTTTACATAACTTGGGCCATGTTTTACTACTAGTGTAAATGTAACTTCATTAGTATTGCACCTTTTTAAAGGGTTGGTATCTTCATGCTACACCTAACACAGCATGCAATGGATGTTGTTCAGAGTCATCCCTTCCTGGGATTTGTCTTTAGTCTTAAAGTCACAAAGCCCTAAAGCAGAACTACTTACAAACGTATGGCTTGTGTCCTCTAAACACCCCAAGAGAATTGATTAAGATTCCGCTGTGCAAGACCCCACCTGCTTTTCTGCAAGCTTTAACCTTTCTGTGGGTGGATTTAATGAGACCTATGTGGTCTGGCTGTTAAGGTAAGTCAGCAGAATAGTTCTGCTCTTCTATTCAGATTCTTATATCCTGACACTGAGTTACTTACCTGCTTGTGCCAGTGATTGTTTTGTCTCATTGATTTATTTTCCTGCTTAGAACGGTAAGCTATACAGCAGTCTTTGTTTTCTCTACATGAGAAGTGTGTGGTGGATTCCTTTAGTACATAAATAGCCCTATTATATGGCTAACTTACTGTCTCTCCCATCCACCTCCAAAATGTGGAGAGCTGTGAATGCTGATTTTATCATATATACTTTTCTAGTGCCCAGATACGAAGGTGGCTGGCATTCACCTAAGATAAGGAGTTAGATAATAAATGAATACCCCACCTGGATCATTGCTACAGGACTCCGAGTAGATGACCTGTGATATAATCTGTGCTTTGTCTTTATTGATGTGACAAGAAGATGCTGTTTGTTTGCTTGTTTCCAGTAGCATTCTCCGAGTGGTAGGTGGTGTACGGACATATGGGAAGGCACAGTCTTTGCCCCAAAGTGATTACAGTCTCTAAAAGATACGTATTACTTGAAGTTGTGATATTCAATTTCAGATGGAAAAATGTTTAAATGGAATAGGATAAATGTAGCCCTCCCATTGGCAGGCACTAAAATGTATTTGATTGATAAAGTCTCTCTCACTGGATACGGTATCCGGGAAGTTGTGCGAGATTTAAAGGTTAACCCAAATCTCTGACCCTTTGGTCCAAAGAAAATGAATCCAAAAAAGAAAAGGGAGGAGCTGATGGAGAAAGAGGAAAGCCAAATACATAACTATGTGCTGGTAGTTACAAGAAGGCCTTGCACTCAGCCTTGAAAATGCCACGGAGGAGTTCCAGAGGATGTCCTTAGAGGCGGAGGGGTTCCACGGACAAGGTCCCCATGAACCCCCTGGCTTGGCCCAGTTCATATGGAACCTCAGGATCGAGAGTAAGGATAATCCAAATGATCTTCCCTGTTTGAAAAGTCACGTTTTAGGTCTAGATTGAGGGCCCTCTATATTAGCAACCAGACATAGCCAATTTCCAGTCTAGAATGCACATTCGTGTAGCCTAGTTCAGACAAGTTCTCTTGGATCATTAACCGCTTGCTTTAAACCAATTTTAAAAAAATCATCTTTGCAAAATGTGGTTCTATTTTTTTGCCCTCTGTAACTTTTAAAAGAACGACTGTTGAATGTTAATGATGTTGCGGATTCTCAGTCGATAACCTGGGTGAATTGCATTCTGAATTTCCAGAGGACGGCTAGGCTTGAATTTCCAGTCATCTTTTACACAACCTGTCCACTGCAAAACCTGCAGTTAGCACCCGCTGCCTTAACTGACCACTTAGAAGTATCGTCAAGGCTTTGAGAACAATGACATTCATGTTGAAGTCCAGCTCTGCTGGGTCTCTTATTTTTGCTGGGACTTTGGGTGGTATCTTCAGGTCTACTTATCAAATGGATTTTTACTGCAGTAGGAACTTTCTGTACCAGTAGCTTGGAGGCTCTTGGCAAAATCCTGGCCCCAGACTTCCACAAATTCCTCTCTGCATATTTATATCTGCCTCTGTAAATTTCTACCACATGCATCTAACGAAGTGGGCATTCACCCACGAAAGCTTATGCTCCAATACATCTGTTAGTCTATAACAGGGTTTCTCAAACAGGGGTCGGCGCTCGTGTAGGGAAAGCCCCCGGCGAGCCGGGCCGGTTTGTTTACCTGCCCCGTCCGCAGGTTCGGCGATTGCGGCTCCCACTGATCGCGGGAGGCCAATGTGGGGCGGCGGGAAGTGGCACAGGCCGAGGGACTTACTGGCCGCCGCTTCCAGCAGCTCCTATTGGCCCGGAGCAGCGATCCGCGGCCAGGGGGAGCCGCGATCGGCCGGACCTGCGGACGGGGCAGGTAAACAAACCGGCCCGGCCCACCAGGGGCTTTCCCTACACAAGCGCCGACCCCTGGTCTATAAGATGCCACAGGACTCTGTCGCTTTTTATGGATCCAGACTAACACGGCTACCCCTCTGATCTCTGAATGTTGTGACTTTCAGAATAAGTTTAAAAGTGCTTGAGACTAAAAGACTTTAAAATGTCTCCCTTTGATACATGTATAATGCTTCTTTGTATGTCTCTAGCAACCCAACAAAATCTCACGTCACAAGTATCGGGGTCGCCGTGTTAGTCTGTATCCACAAAAACCACAAGGAGTCCATTGGCACCTTAAAGACAACAGATTTATTTGGGCATAA